TCACCAGAATTGTTGGTCCGTCCACAAGAGCAGCCACATTTGACCATCATAACTAAGAATAGGCTTAGCCGTCCATCAAGCCAAGCTGGCAGTTCAAAGGACATCTTTATACACATTTGGCTTGCTAATTTCTAAAGGTGAAATAAGAACACTGCTAAAAATTACCCAATGATCAACTTTTAGTATTTTTCTAACAATGAAAATATTATCGTTATGATTTCTGAAAACTGAGAGTAAATAAAAGATTATTTCCTTTCAATTGAATCATTTTTCTAAGAACAAATTGAAAAATCTCTTTTATTATAATAAAATGCAACTAGTAAATGGCGTTTAGTGGAAAATATTTTTTTTTGTTATAGCGATGACAGAAATATGGGTATATATGTATATATAATAACGATACCAGTTTAACGAAGCGGTACATGTTTCTGCGATAAATTAACATTTAACATTGATAAAAAACTATATTTTATGAAAATAAGATGTTTAATATAATAACTAAAAGGAAAATATTAATGTATGAAAATTGAATCGATATTTTCCTGATATTTAATGTTCCGATATATGTATCGATTCTCAATTATAGTATCTCATTAATTTATAGAACAGTGTTAAGATGAGTCTAAATTTTATTCTGCAAGTTTTAGAAAAAAAACACACACAGAGTTTATCAAATCGATAGTATCGAAATTTAACACAAAGTTATTAAATATTGAAATCGAAATTTTGCGATATACATATGCGCGTTAAATCGATTTCAGTTTAATAAACCGAACTTTAGCATACGTTTTCTATCGAAATGTAAATTGTGCTTAAAATAAGAAATTTAAAAACATACAATTAAAGCATTTCTAATTTCCATATATAACTTTACGAAATTCTCGATATGATATTGATCGGCATATCCATATATCATGCTCTTCCTCCTCCGATATACCTCCCTAGATTATGTTGCAACCAAGGCCACGGTTACTTGGCATAGCACACATACAATATTGTCAACAATTATCAGGAAGTGCAACAGCATCAGCTGCAGCTTCAAGCGAACACGGCATACGAATTTCCACAATGAAAATGATTCCAGTTGCCATGGAGCAAAGGGAGATTTCAGTGGCAGCAGCAGCAGCAGCAACAGCTGGAACCGTTCCCAGAGAGTTGGCCATGTCCAAAGGTCATGAATACATTCAAGCATCCATCAGTGGCGCTGCCATCCCCATCCTTGATGGGGCCCATTCATATTCGACGATGCAGTGGCTATTTTTGTAGCCGCTGGATTGTTAACAAGCGCAGCTACAGTGAATGCGAGTGAAATAAAGTTTCGGGCTTTAATCGGACTCAATGGTACAAACACGCGAATTAATGACACGGCCCTTGGCAATCCCGGCAGCAATCCCAGATGATACATTAAACCCTCTGTCTCTTTTTGATTTGACTTAATCTCGATTTTAAGACCAGCAATGTACATATTATACTAGCGTTAATATTCCTCGTACCGCTGGGCAAAAAGTTAATTATAATGTGTACATATTTACCCCTTAATTTGTTTACGCTCGAGTCGCTTACCAAAAGTGTAATTGACAGTTGGCAAGATGATGGGGCCGTCTCGTAATTAATTAATTGACTCAAATTAAATCAAGACGAATCTTAGAATCCAAGCTTAATTAATTCGCTGCCACGTCCCTCACAGTGTCACATCATCCACACGTGATAAATTAAGGCTTTAAAGAGGCGGCTGCACGGTCTGGAAGTCACTGCTTTGTGGACAAAAGTGCACCTAATTAGTTTTCCCCCTCGAATGAGTGAGTTTTACGGCGGATGTCAGTGACCCGACTGCCTCGGAAAATATTCAAGCCCCCGTCTACATATTTCAATAAGAATTTTCACTCGAGAAAGTTGGGTTTCAAAGTTTCTACAACATTTACCTGTCTGCAAGTCGATGTTTTTTCTCTTTCTCCTTATTTCTTTTTAAAGTTTCTCCTTGTTTCCTGCGACGTTTAACTCAAGGATTACTGCAGATGTCAGACTTAAGTTTAGTGAGCAATGCATTTGTTGAGCTAAACTTTTTACAAATTGCTGATATTAAAGATTATAACATCACAAACACTTTCATTTAGCAGTCTGGACTATAATTAATATATTGTTTAACCACTAAGTCTATAAAGAAATCAAACCAAAACTGAATCCGAAATGTTTTATAAAGAATTTTAAAAGTGCTTGCAAGTCAAGAGTGTGCAATTTAATTTACTCGTTCATTCATTACATTCTTCCCTTTTTCTTAATACCCTAAGGGATTTATTTGCACTTCCACACACATTCAAAGAAGTCGGATTATTGTGGCTGTTGCCTTGGTTTCCGGAAAATTCAAGCTTTGATTTGCAGACACCTGATTTTAATTACGCATACGCCCCGTGTGATTCAAGGCTAGCCACAAAAATGTGCGTTACGTTTCAATTGAATGATGACATCAACCGGGGATAAAAAAGAAACAACTCCTCAGGGCCAGAAGCTCTCCTTTATTCGATAATGGCATGCTGGTAATTCGGATTAAATTTATTTATTAATGTCTCCTGGCGCCAGGACTCCCTCAATCCAGGCAAACCGAATACGGAAGGCTGGATAAACAAGAGGACAGCCGAGCCGAGCGATGGGGAGTACAATAATAATATAAACATGCTATGTAAATTTGCTGTGTGGCCGGGGCCGCTTTCAAGTAACGCTCAACCAGTGGCAGATGTAAGATTTCCAACAGCACGTGACAGTATTACCAAAGGCGATTTTCCCCGGCCGCCTCGGGTGGCAAGGATAAATCAATGTTGGCTTTTGCCGAAGCACTTGGGGGCCAAAAAGCGAAAGTTAAAATTTATTTGAAAATTCAACAGAGAAAAGCAACTATTGTGCTCCGGCATGGCCTCTGGCCGACTCACCTGGCTCGCCTTTCACCTGCGTCCCAAAAATCTCTTTCTAATTCCACACAAATTAGGCACAAGAGAGCAGAAATTGAAGTGAAATCAAATACACGTCAACGTAAATTCAATTGCGAACATGGTTTAGCTCAAGGTCCTTTGGTTGCTAGGTACAAATACTACCCTGCTTCCTTTGGAATCCTGAGCATATGGAGTTTTGAGTCATCGGAAAATGATTTCTCATCATTTTATTTAAAGTAAGTTGTATGCTGATTTAACAATTAAAAAATATCGCATTAAACAATTGAACGTAGTAAATTAGAAAAAACATCATCAGCATCATTTATAAAAATATAAAAATTACTAAAAAATATCGAGTATAATTTAGAAAATTGTTCTCTTCTTATATTTATCTTTTTATCGATTAAAAATTTGAAGTCTATATTTTGATTAACTCTTTTTATTTAATATCCTACAATAATAGTTTGAATGCATAATAACCTATCTAGAACCGATGCTTATGTCTCACGAAAATACTAATATAAAATATCTAACAATAACTAAACATTTATTATATAATGAAAATTAGTTTAAACCTGACATTATTGAAGAATATTCTTCTAATCTGCCAAAGAATCTGAGCAAAATTTATTATTATTAAATGCCTTCCCATACTACAAGATATTTCGCTGTCCGTAAACTTTGTCAAGACATTCCATTTCCTTTTTATTTTTGCTGTATTTATTTTTATTTTCTGGCCAATCAGGAAACATTAAGCTTTAAGTAACTTGAATTTTTATATGTATCCTTTTCTATTAGCCTTGTGAATTTTTTTACATTAAACATTGTTAATATTTTATAGAAGTTATGCAGGAACGTGTGATTGAAACCTTTGCAAAGAGTACTTATTATGTTAAGAACTTCTATTTCCTTTCTAATGTGTATTTAAACAGATTCCTTGTTTTAAGTCATTCCTCGAGAGGTGTGCTCTTAATATGTATTGTTTGCTAAGTAGCTACTTCTAAGGATATATTTTCTCAGCTTCTGTTTGCTGCTGCTGAAGTAATATACACGCTGTATTACGTATACGACACGTGGCACGTTGTAAGAGCAACTCGAGGCACATTTACATCGCATCAAATCGATAACATTAAGTACGTACATTCATCCGCGCATTCTGTCGGGATATATGGATACTCCCATTTAAGTACAGAGAGGAGGCTAGAGACAATCATCCCACCTCCTACCACGATTCAAAACTAAACCGAACTTTGTGGCATCCACAATTCGAACTAGATGTTGTTTTCACAATAAAACTAGACTACTACCTGCAGCAAAGAATGTTTGTACTTGTAAGACACAAAAAACTGTCCCTGGTTGTTCCGAACAGATTGAATTTGCAGCCACAGGGACCGAAAACATGAAGGGAATGCTTGGAACACGATAAGCTTTTGTTGTCACTTTAATGCGCAATTATGGGGAAGCAGAGCGGGAAAGCCAATGTTGACACAAAAAACAGTTTGAAGTACACTGAAAAACCATTATTGCAAGGCAACCAAACTGAAAAACTCAAAAGAACTCGAAGACACTCAAAGGTAAACAGAACAATACCGTAAACAATATATTATATTATGTTATTCTGAATTCATTCATTTTAAATAATGTTTTGTGGCTCAAGTTTGTTTTGTTTTGAATTTAATACAGGTTTATAAATCTGAAAGTTAATCTGTGATATATCAATTAAGCTGATTTAGAATAACAATATTGATAAGGCGAATTCAATGGAATTCAAGTTCCAATTCAGCGTGTTTCTTATGCAAATAAAAATAGGAGAGAAAGAGATTACAACTTTGTATTATAATTACAAAAGCAATAAACCTTTTTATTTACAAATTTCGAAAGTAGGCTTTTTTTCAAGTGCACCCACACACTGTATGAATTTAAAGCATCTCCTTGTCCAACTATTCCCCATCGACTGATGCTCTCTGCAGTCAAAGCCATCACAATCATTGCATTGACTTTGAATGAATGACGGGGGAGAACGAACGATTGTCAAGGCTTTTAACAAAATGAACTTGTGTCATGGCTGTACATAAATTTGATTGATCAAGAGAATGTATATTCTATATAAACATGTATGTTTGTTTACGTAATTTCCATTTAATGTTCAGACTTTAAGGTGACACTGTTAGTAATCCAAGTCCACATTGCAATGCTGACACCGTCCGTTCACAATGGTATTGCCGCCTCTTTGGTAGACGGTGCCACGCCCCCTGCCATCACCGCCTCGGGATATGACCACGTTCCCACTGCTGCCTGGAGAGGAGAAGCTACGATACTCCTGACCATCCAAATAGACGGGATCTCCGTGCGGGTTGGGACCTGTTCGAGTACAAAATTGATCGAAGGATTGGGAATGGCAATGGCTTCTATGTACTTACAAGTCAGGCATACCCCATTGACCACCACCGTGCTGGGATGGGCTGCAAATGATTAGAAAGGTATCAATTAGCTTCAGCGGAATCAATTCGACATGCTCACCACAGACAAGAGCCGGAATCAAAGCCAACGGGAGCAGAACACACGTCAGGTAGTTCATGTTTGAGACGATAGACAACTGACTGGACTCTCACCACGCCGCTTATATAGTGTGCTCGGTCGGCAATTCAATCCGAATCAAAATCAATTTGCATAAGCCTGCATTCTAGCGGCAATGCGCTGCTTTCAAAACACACGGAATTCGAGGCACTCCATATAGTACACTTGTATTCCTAACAGTTTTCCCCCCGCACATAAACAGATTTCGAAGGGTTTTCCCCAATACGATTCTACGTAATTGATTTCCTTGAACTTCTACAGATGAAATTTATAAGAGTCACGCCCAAAAACACTGTTTACAACTACTGCCAGACATTCTAAACATGAATGGCAAGCGCGATTCCAGAGAATCACACCCCAACCTAGCCATCCATCCATCCATCCATCGCAGCAAAACTGGTTCCCGTTCTAAAATGTCGTGACTCGTGAACAGAACGTAAAATGTACCGCCACGAACTGACATTTAATAAAAATGGTTTTAAACACAAAATAAACTAATTAAGTACCACAAAAAATAAGTAATTCTTAATGATTACAGAGGATGAAAGTACATTATAATTGAGTAACTTGCAAACTAATTGCAAAAGGAAGAGAGATCTCTTGAGAAGTGTGTCTTAAAATCTGAGATGAGTGTAAACAACCCCCTTTTTAGGCTCATATATTTTTAATATTTATTATAATATCTGTAGCGCATCTAGTCAGCACTTCAACTGGACTATCTGATGAGCTACTAATTGTTTTTAAAAAGTATCTGTGGGCAATTCCCTGTGGAGATTTATACTTACGTAGCGTTTGTTTATATGCGAAGCATTCTCTGCAGCGATAAGGTTCGAATCGGAACGGAGATCGGTGAGTGCATCGTATATAAGCGGCTGCTGTCGATTGTACCTGGTCCAGACCAGTTCGACATATCAACAGATCCGCACAATAATGAGACATCTGACGGCATTGGCAATACTCGCTCTCACTGCCCTGGCGCTGACCGAGGCGGCTGTTTACATTGGCGGCGGTTGCTACGACTGTAAGTTTGACCCCTGAAATATATTTCAAAGCTGAGCAAAGAAAAAACACAAAAATGTAAGCCAAGAAAGTAATATTTCAGATATTGTTAGCCCACTCCCAAATATTGTTTACTTGGGATTATTGAAACTTGACTTGATGATTTGGTGCAAGTTTTTTTCTTTTCCAACAAATATACAGCGAAAGCAAGAGTCTTTTTAGAACTTGTTTTAGAAAATATGCCTTAGTGTGTATACGTGCATAGTTGTTGACTCTGAAAACAATTACTTAATGTATTTAATTTGAAGCTCTTAAAAGGAATTGATTATTTGTTAGACGTTTAAACATCCCTCGAAAATGTATCTGGTAGTTTTCTGCAAAGTATGAGCAAGGTTTTAATGCTATGAAGATGTTATAATTTAACTGTTTTTATTATTTAATTTTGAAATGTGGTAAAGCATTGTGAACTTTGCTGACACTTATATAAACTTGCAATTACATTTAGAACGCAAACCAATTTCGCGCAATTAAGTAACCGCATGAATCTCTCATTCGACCGACACTTTTAGGTAATCCGCCGGAGGCCAGGGACCTGGAGTCTACACAGGGGTCAACGGAGGACGCGGAGGAGGAGAGTGGTGGCACTATTACAACGGAGGTGGTGGCGGCCGCGGAGGAGGCGGTGGGCGTCCAGTCTATTCGGGTAACTTCGGACCTGGCTATAACACGGAGGTGGTCGCGGTGGCGGTGGCTATGGCGGCGGCGGTTACGCAGGTGGTTACGATGACGGCGGTCTAACGCAGATTATAGCGGATGAGTATATAATCTAGGGGCTTTACGTCATTAAATACCGCAAATGACCAACCGTCAGCTGATATTTAGCTTCCCATTTATAGAATAAAACAAATACAAAACAGAAATAATTGTGTGTTTTATCAGTACGTTTATGACATCGACCTTTTTATAAAATATTAAGGGACATTTGTATGCAACTTTATAATTTGTATAAATTTATTATTACCTTTATGGTAAATAGAAATGAATATCTAATTTATCAGTCCTTGTGTAATTATAATCACAAACATTGCTAAATTATTAACAACTTATTACATTTATTTCTTAATTTTTATTAGTAAATAGAAATAAACTACCTAATTTATCAGTTCTTTTGTTAATTATAATCACAACTCGCTAGATCATTAACAACAATATGATGAACAATTTGTAAATTAATCATATAAAAATATAATTTCTTCGTTGACTTATCATTAGTTACAATGACAGTGTAAATGCAATATAATATAACATGTTCCTTGAATTTGGTACCTAAAAATTGCATTGCATATTCTTAGACAATTTTTAGGTTTCTAAGCCCATAGTAATTCAAAAGCACCTTTTATATAATTTTTCTAACAAGAACCTCATAGTTAAAGACTCCCCTCATTCTTAATGCTCTACTCTACCGGACTCTATATTATTCGAAATATTCCTTTAAAAAATCCCAAAGGACCTGTACTTTTACTACTTCGTTATAAGCATTTCAGTGCTAAGAGCTAGGAATGGTAATTTTATGGCAGGTAGGAAATTATTTCTGATTTGATTGCCCAGAGTCATAAATTGTAAAATGAAATTCCTTTGAGTGGTATGTGTTTCGGCTATGAATTGGCCCGTTGGCCGTGCCAGTCCAGCACTTTGAGTGAATATTACCCGGAGGTATTTTTCCGTTTTTCTTGATTTATTACCTACCATGCGTTTTCATATTCATGTTTTGCTAACCATTTGCATTTTATGGGATCCAACATTCTTAGAAAATAGGCGGAATTTTGATTAAAAAGTAATGAATTTGATGATCGTGGAAATCTAATTTAAAGCAATTTGTGAATAAATGCATACCTACTTGGCCATGCTCTTTATTCTGTAGCTGAAAAACAACTGGGAAAATGCATTTGCTCTTTCAGAATTGCTCAGTTCAAGGCTCGGGCTTCCTTCCTTTCATTCTATAGTTTAGTTTCCTAGAGAACAGGACACCATGGAAACTTTTGTGGGCGGAAGGCAAATGAAAATAATTGATAAGCATTTCAAAGTTTCGGGCTCCTTATTACTCTCTTAATTACAAGGCTCGTCCTTGTTAAATATGCATCGCATCGGATTTCCCCAAAAGATGGGGGAAGAAGAAGCCATCGCCACTTAATTGATTCATTAAAAGTTCGATTTATCTGCCGAACAATGGTTTTGGCGAGCTTGGTTGAACTTAGCGACCCGGAATCGATTTTTTGCCCTTTATTAAATTTCAATTATCTTTATTAAGAATGTACTTCAAGCAGAAAAACGGATAGAAATACGGAATTATCCTTTTGTCCAGACCATTCATTATATGTATGGTTTAAGTCTCATGTGGCAAAGATGTATTTATTGGTGGCAAAAATAATATTCCTTTCAGGAAATCGGTTTTATATTCAATACAAATTTCTAAGAACTTTCTGTGTCAATTTATACCTTAAGCTCTCTTGGAAGAATTTCTAATTAAGTTTGGGAGGTGAAAGCTTATTTCTTGGGGTATTTTTTAGGAAATATTGTCTCCATTACACTGCATTCTCCGAACTAATAGGACCCGGCTTCCCACTTCCCAGGACTACTTCAATTACGCGCTTGCCAAGCAACAGCAGCACCACAAGTCGAGCCAGCAATTTTCAGGCGAAAAGTGACAGAATGGAGTGGCAGGTGGATGTACCACGGAGCCATTAGCGTTCAATTTCCCAGCTTCGGGTAAAAACTAAGCAAGTGCGCGAGCGAAATTAACTTCGACCGTCCCCAGCCACCTTGCCGCTTTGCGACGTGAGCAACTTTTAAAATGGCCAACTTTATGCATCATCCTGGGGAAAGTTTGCTGTTGCTCGGGAAACTGTATAAAAAAAACAGTCGATATGATCTACCTTTACGTTATTGTGTTTTTTTTTCTCTGCCATTTAAGGTAAGCGAACTGATAATATTTCCTAATTAATTTTTAAACTTGTGACCCATACTTTGTAACTGGAAATATATTCCCTCTAAGAACTAAGAGCATGAAATGAAATACCATAAATATCACCAAGGTTTTAAAGCATCGAAAAGTGTTCCATAGAATTTTCATTTGTGCAATGTAGCATATTCTTGGGAACATTTTAAATAGATTTTGAAACACTCATAGCAACTCCGATTGAAAGGACTTTTAGCAGGCCATAAATCGGATTAAAAGGATTCTGGAACAAGGAATCTTATCAATTGAGTTCGAATTGCAGCAAGATTAGGCCAAAAGGGGTATGCATGAACCAACCACAGAGTTACCAAAATTTGAATCCTTCTCCATGAAAGGAAGCCCAACTAAAGTCCATCAATGTAAGAGTTTCCAAAGCCAGGATGCAGCAAAACGATTGCAAGGCGGAAATTCGAAGCTCTACTGTGAAAAACACATGGGAAAAGGGAAGGCTAAAGTTTACTTGCAGTTTATGCATTTTCCAGGCAGAGGCTTTTATTTTCTGTCGGAGGCTGTAAGAGCTGTGTTAAAAATCCGAGAAATCTCTAGTCACGACAGCAGCAATTTAATCTCGATTTTAACACTGTTACTTTTGTAAACTAAATATTAATGTGAAATTTAAGTTAGGTGAAGAAATCCTCCTTGACAATGTCATATACAAAAACAAACTTTTAACAACCAATCTCGTGAGGCAACAGTTGAGCGGCAGCTGAGGCAAATACAACAGCTAAAAGTTTTCTTGGCTAGGGATAGATTAAAAATAATAGTTTTGCGAAGGTTCTGTCAAAACTTTACAAGCTTAAATGTACGAAAGCAAAAACAAAAAATAAAAGAAAGCAAATTACAAACAAAAATATATGAAGAGTACAGCTTTCGGTAACTACCAATGATGATATGACCTCTGAACTTTATTATAGTTTGAACAAGAAACACAATTTGGTTTAATCATTTGAGTTTTTGTTACTAAATGGATATTTGTAACTATACGGGTAAAATAAATAACAAAACACCCATG